TTCTTATTTACACTTGTAGAATCACTAGAATATTTCAAAGGAGATAAAGAACTTCTTGAAGTTGCAGCAGATGATTGATGAGTATATAAAGATGAACTTTGAGAGACACCAGGACGATAAGGAGCAACCGAATCCCAAGAATAATGTTTCAATTGAGTACCATATTTTTGTTGAGAAGAAAGTTTATAAGAAGCCAAATTCACAGAATTACTATGAACAGGAATTCTTATTGGAGGAGAATTGTAAGTATTAACAGGGTAAAATTGTGAATGATGAAATTGTGAATGATGAGGTACTAAATCCGGTAAAGCTTCAGGAGGTAATACAGGATGAACACCACCATTCGCAGAGAAACGACAGGGCTTTTCATGACAATGACATTGATCAAACATTGTAGTATTAAAATCTTCACTTTCTCTAACAATAGTAAATCGTCCAACTTTACCCAATACTTCTGGTTCTTTTGAGAAATGCCTAGGAGTTTGAGCACAAACTTCGAATAAAGAACTTTCCGAAGAAACTTTTAAAGTAGAATCTTCATAATGATGATCCAAAGACTTTGGAATAACAGCATCACAAATGTCTTGTTGACAAATATCTTGTTGACAAGTATTTTGTTGACAAACATTTTGTTGAGAGAGACTAATATTAGAATTAACCTCAGACTTATTAACATCTAAAGTAGGAGTAATCACATCCTTATCATGATCAACTAAAGAATTATCACGGGCAACAACACGAACGGTATCAACACTTGTACTTGATCTTGAAGAAGCCGATACATTGATAGAATCATCCTCAGGAATTTTATCAGATTTTTGATCGTTCCGTTTCAAAAAGACAAATTGAAGACGGGATAAGATAGTTTTTAACCAATCAGTATGTTTTTTTGTATTAAAAGACAATGAACTCCTATCACTATTTCGACGAACACGTAAAATATCAGCGGAATTAACTCTTCGTTCGATAGAAACAGAACAATTAACAGGACTAGGAGGCGCGGTAGATATATCCATCCTTTCAGCACTTTTTTCAGCACTTTTTAAATTATCATATTCATCAAAACCGGTAGAAGACGGAATATTTAAGAGATCATTATGTATTCGAGAAGTCATAGACGGAGGACTTTTGAACAACGAAAGTGAACTGGTATCAGGTAACGGAAGAGGCATAGGAGGTGAAAACATGCGTAGGCCGATAAGGTGTATCCGACAAGAAGGTATATAGATATTCTTGATATTCTCAGTGATAACAAACACTCAACTGATAGACTGAGAGAGAAAGAGAGAGATAGATAAAGTGGGAAATAAAGAGTAATAGAGAAAGAGAGGTGGGATGTTTGTGACACACGAGATATTTATCGAATGAGTTTTTCCTTATATTTTGTTTCGCTCAACGAAAAAAAAGGTTTGTGATTATAAAAAAATTTTGTTATGATGATTTGTTATTATTATTTTCCTTTACGTATTTTAATAATACGAAGGTCTGAACTCCATGGTCGAAGATATATATTGCATAAAAAAAAAAAAAAGGGACAAAAATCTTTTCTTTTTTTTTTTTTTAAAGTCTTTTTTTTAGGAAAAAAAAGAGAAAGTCGTCTTTATTTTTCTTCTTCTATATAACTAGTTT